ACAATGAAAAAGAAAATAAAAAGCAGAGAGAGAGAGAGAGAGAGAGAGAGAGAGAGAGAGAGAGAGAAGCAAAGGCTCCTGACTCACAATGGCAAAATCAATGGCAGAAAATGCCTGATACCTTCTCCCCTCTTCTTCCTAATTCTTTGGGCAGAGAGAAACTCAACCTGGCCATTACTGTCGGAGGCTGTAGGCCCAGGGGGCTTGCTCATGTGCTTTGCTACTAAAGCTCACATGCTTTTGTCTGACTCTTTCTTCACCTTTCTACTGCTTTTAACCAAATACTAGTTAAAAAGTTTCTTGAGAAAAGGGATCTGTCAGGTGCCTTAGCATTCTGGCCCAGGAAATGTGGAAACTGAGGAGAAGTGGGCTGCTTTTGGAAGTTGCTTCTTACTTTTGGGCACTCACTGCCCCAGGACCATGGGGACTAGACTGGCTCTGGATGACAGCAGTCTGGCTCAAGCATTTCACATGGTCAGGCAGTAGAGAACACAGGAGTAAGCCCTCAGTTGCTGGCCATGTAGCAGCACTCATAGCACCTACATGCAGGGCCTCAGACAGGGGCTTCCTAGGCAGGCCTGGACCTAGGTTGCATTTTGTTGTGTCCTTTAGGATTTTCCTGGAAGCTTGTTCCCATGTGGTTTAGCCTGTAGTTCCAGAAAGGGTAGGGCAGGGCCCAACTAGAGAACTGATTGCTGCCTTCCTAGTTTGGAGCCAGTGTGCATATTGTCAAACAGCAACAAGAAAAATAAATTGCCAATATACTCTCCCCTGAAACCCAACTGAGGTGATTTGGCTCAGCATTGATTAACTTCTTGATAATTTTAAGACTTTTTGCCAGCTCCTTCCGTGTTGGTGTATGCTGAGCATGCTTTCCACTGCTCTGGAAGATTATGTCCAAGTAAAGCTGCAAGGGCTCACCTGTCTGGGTTTAGCTCCCTCTCCCCAATGGGTAAAAGGTTTCCATGCTGCAAAATCCCTTTAAAATGAAGCAACTGCTGTGGTCAATTTTCAAATTCTTCATCAGAGCCTGGAAGAAGCCCCTCTGGCCATATGGTGCTCAAATCTTTGCTGGTCTGCGTCAGAGGCACCTTATCTCAAACTACAGAAACAGTAAACATTCGAGTATAGAGGCCCCAGTGCTACTGCCTGAAGGATGGGCTGGGCTGGGCTGCTGGTTGAAATGAGAGGGTCTGCAGAGTGAGCTGATGGGGGCTAGACTTTGATGCTTAGCTGGAGAGGGGCAAGGGTGTGACTGTGTGTCTGTGCATTTCCATGGAAAAGAGACAGAAAAGAACTCTTAGGCACTGGAGCCCAAAGAGAGGCTTTGGTGGCGCCAGGATCCAGGCTTGCCTTTCCAAAGAGATTGCTCCTCTCTTCTCACTAGGAGGGAGATACATAGTGCCCTGGGTTTGTTGCTTCTTAGCAAAGCTGGATGAGTGCATAAAACCCTCCCCAGCTATCCTTTTGAAGTTCTTGATAATCACTAGGAGAATGAAGTCCTGCAGTCTTAGTGTGTGAGTGTGTGGCTGGGTGAGAAGGGGCATGATGGACACCCATAGGGAATAGGATTTCACAGCCTCATTGTTTCCTGAGCCATGCAGACAGACTGGCCTCCAGGAAATGGTCCAGGTCACAAGAAATGATGTGGCAGCCATGAGGGAGAAGATAATATGCCCTATACCCAGAGGACTATGAACGAAATGGCTGTGACAGAGATAGCCTTGAGGCCAGGCAAGGGAGGAAAGATGGCTGAGTAGAGCAGAGGCTGCACAGGCCATTCTGGAGCTAGAAGTGAGGAGATCATGGCCAGCTCAGTCTGTGTAAGGGGCATGTGGGAATGTGGAGGGACTCTTGTGTCCAGAAGCAGCAAGAGAGGGAGAGGGAGAGAGCGGGAGAGCAAGAGAGAGCTAGTGAGTGAGTGAGAAAGAGAGAGAGAGGGAGAAAGAGAAAGAGCATGCAAATAGTGTGGGAAGTTAGAGAGGATGAGAAGAACATACTGTGCCCAAAGGATCCTGGTCACCCTCTCCCTCTAGGTTTGAAGATGGCCACTGTTTGTACTCGCCCCAAATGCACAGAATGAGTAGATTTTCTTCCTAGAGTGCCTGAGGCTCTTAATAAAAATGCCTCTCAACAGGAAGCTTCTCCCATGCCCAAGAGCCACAGGCACAGTCCTCTGGACTCTGAGGGGTGAAAGGCAATCTGGCCTGGAGCAAGTGAATAAGGATGGAAATTTTCTCATATATGGGGCCATACTTCTCCTTGGGAAATCTTGTGACCTTTGGGGCTAGTCAGGACAGCTGTGGTCAAAACACCTGGTACAATGTTGTGTGTTGTTCAGGGGAGCTCAACCATGGCTTTCACCCTGCTTTCCTTTCCAGCAGCTCTGGTCCTCTGAAGGGTTCCAAGGAGATGAGCAGGGTAAGCTAGGTGTTTACTCTGCCAGGCCTGGCTGCCTATTGGATCCTGAGTAGGTCATTGCCCTTATGAACACCCGTCTTCTAGTTTATGAGGGTGCTGGGTATAGCAATTTATCAGAGCTCCCAGAACTCAGAAGTTAAGTTCTGAACTCTAGCTGGAACTGCTGTGTGGCAAGAATAAGTTTTGGCCAGTGGCTTGCAGAAGCAAAGCGTGCCCCACTTGGGGTTACCAGGTGACCCAAGTGGCATCTTTCTCCACAGTGAGTCTTTCTTAAGCTGCCTGCCTTGGTTTTTGGGATAACAGGACCCCTATACCTTCACAGCAGCCCCCTTCTCAGGAGACCCTGCCACCCACCTCTCACATCTGCTTAGCTTCCCCTGGAAAAGCTCCTGAACAGCAAGGAGGGTGGTGTTTCTCCCACTGTACTTACCAGGTACTGTTGGGATCCGAAGGTGGGAAGGAGGGGAACGGATGTACATGGAAGGAATGAAGGAGAGAAGCAAGGTACTATGGTCCAAGGAAGAAAACAGTTTAGGGAGGAAGTGGGAGAATTGCGGGCAGAAGTAGGCCTCACTCAGGTATCGAAAGCAGGTAAGGAGGGGCCTCAGACGCTGATTGGCTCCAGTGAGGCCTAAGATCAGCACTGTGGAAGAGGTTTGGAGAGGCATACATAGAAGAGTCTTGTAAACTGCCCTCCCACTGAGACACTCGATGGACAAGTAGACAGATGGGTGGACAAACAGACAGACAGGCTGACAGATGGGAGGTGCAGAAAGATGACACTGAAAAATGTGTTGAAAGTCAGTGGGGAGGAAAGGGGCTGTGCAGATCTATGTGTCCTCTACATCTACTCTTCATATTGTTTAGAAGAAGGAAGCTGTTACTGCTCGGCTGGGCATGGCTGAGGTGTGTTGGGAGGCCATGGACCATTCTATTCTTAACTGATTTGGTACAGCTTCCTGCTGGCCTCTTTGGGTTAAGTAGCTCTGAGATTCTCCTTGGTCCCACTTGGGTAGGCCAGGAACACTGGCTACTTTCCAGACCAACAGTGATGTGTATCAGCCCATTATCTGAGGCCCAGGTGGGTGGTCCAGGGGTTGTACAAGCTGGAGGTACATGTGCTTTGGAGAAGGGGTGTATGTGCACACACGTCTGTGCTATTCCTGAAGGGCCCTTATCCTTTCTTTAAAAGTCAGCGGCCCAAAAGCAGAGCTTAAGGAAGAGGAGGGCACCTCCCCCTGGGGACCTCTCACCAGTTCCTAAAATAAATAAATAAAAGAAAGAAAAGAAAAGAAAGAAATCAAGCAAAAAGAAACTCGAAGAGTCTGTGATGGGGGAAAAGGTGAAGTCGTTAAGGCTTTCCATCTGCGTGGGAGTGGCATTTTCCGAAGGGAGCTGCAGGGGACTCACTGGAAGGAAAGGAAAGACTTAGCATTGAACTATCCCAGCAGCGGCCCTGGACTCATACTCGAAGGTTTACTGTTCACTTTTTGAAACCTCCTGACTTTGTCACCAAAAGCAGGCAACCCTGGTAGGAGTGCCCCCACCTCCACACGGTTGCCTGCATTTCTCCTGTTGGGGGCAACACAGGGTGATAGGTTTAGCAGTCTAGTGGCCTCTACTTTGTCATTGTAAAAAGATGTAAGCAATTATGGAAGCTTCTATCTAGTTAGGCCAACCCCAGGGTTCTCTTCAAAATGTGAATTGCACGGTGGGAGCTTGTCATTGAAATGTCCTGGCTTCTCTGAGGAAGGAGTAGAGAGGATTGCATAAGACTGGGTTCAGATCCTCCAGTACTGAGGCCTGTTTGGAAAGAGCGAAATGCTTGGGGACACAGAAAAAGCACCTGCCTGGCCTCTGAGTGTCTGTTATCAGGGCTCCTCTAACAGATTCTGGCTCAGGGCGGGGCCTGAAGGGCAGGCACCAGTTGCTTAGGAGAGGCACCCTTGGTCACCACTGAGCCCACCTGGGGACTGGAGAGAGGGGTGTCCTTTGGAAACCACCTCAAGGAGAATGCTGGAAGTTGTCACTTTCTTCTCCGAGGAGATTGGCTGGATTCTTCTGCTGCAAATGATACCATACTGTGGGCCTTTGCCTACCCCAGAGGGTAGCCCTGGGACACATGCTTTCCTGACACTTACCCCACAACATGGAGCAAGTCCCCAGCCTGACACCAGACACCACCAGAAGAAACCTGAGTTCATGAAGAACTATGGGTGCATGCGGACAAATTCAAGAAAAGAAAACCAATGGCAGCAGGAGTACTAAATGCAAACCAAAATCCAAATAAAGCAAAGGACGAAAGGCCTGGCAGTGCTGTGGGGTTATTTCATAAGAGAATATGGCTTTGGAGAGCCACCGTCTGGCGGGAAGGACTGGACAGGGCAGTAAAGAAGGAACAGAAAAGCCACCGTGAGCAGAAATGCAAGACTGGAAAAGAGAAGGCAGAGTCAGGGAGGCTTTATCTTCCCCCAGGTGCCATTTATGAGAGAAAAGGGAAGTCAAGACTCACTGCCAGCAGCGCTGGTGGGCTTGGCGGCAGAGAGAGTTACGTGAGTAGGGGTAGAAAGATTGGTTACGTCATGGAGCTGGCTGAGGACTGAAGACCGCCGGCGCACAGCACCCTGAAATGACCCGCTTCTCTTGAAGGTACTCACTACCTCCATCTGTGGGAGAGAAAATGAGATAAAGGTTGGCTTGCATGGAGGGCCAGGCTACCACACAGGGTGGGGCTGGGTGAGGGCAGGGGCCACACTAGGGACATACGGAGCCAGCAAAGCCTCAGCTAGGTCAGCCCTGATCCCTGGAAACTGACAATGCTTTTGACAAAGCCATTACTGAGAGAGGGTTTGCTTGGCAAATGGTTAGTGGTTAGGAGTGTGAGAGGGAAAGGTCACTGGTGGGGACACACTGCAAACATTTCATAGGTCACTTGCATTCACGATACGCTCATCGAGAGCCACTCGTCATTAAGTACCTGTGTCTGGCAATACTTCCTTATCCTACTTCGGTAGTTCTCAACATTTTTTTTCTGCCCCAACACACCTGAGGGATATGACACGCTCTTATTAGAAAGTGGAAGCATTCCCCAATGGTATGTGGGCTGTAGTCTCCTGCCTGGACCCCTGGGAAATCACTGCCCTTTGTCCATGGTCTTCTTAGCAAGGGTCTCTTGCTCTGCCCTGCTCCATTGGTGTAGGGTAGATAACCACTCAGATTTCTGCAGCTCTATGAATTAAGGGGGAATCCTCAAAAGAAAATATATTTAGGCAAAAGAAGAGCTTTCAAGAGCATAGGCTTTGTCTTGTTAGAACTTTCCCACAGCCCCAAGGCATGGAGGCTGGGAGGATTGGGGGTGGGGCAACTGCCTTCTGCCTTGTCCCCACTCTTTGAGCTTCCCTCAAGATGAAAGGGATATACATATGTGGAAAATGAGACCCATGGGAGAGCCTTGTGGATAAATACTTCTAGAAGCCTCCTGACTCATTGTCTTTGGGTTTTCTGACCCTGTCTATGACCATGACATTATGCCAAACACAGGAAGTAGGGTCTGAAGGAATTGCAGCTGAGCAACTACATCAAGTTTCAAGACATTGGGAGGCCACATGCCAAGACTCTGGGAGGCCAGAGGCAAGGCACACTGGCAGCCCAGAACATGTCCTCAGTGGGGAGAGAATCTTTAAGGGTATATACAACTTCTGGAAAGTACCATGTAGTTCATTGAATAATATAAGTAGCCAAGCCAACATGCATTTCTGGAGTCCAAAGCACTCTTACTGCCTGGTCTACCCAAAGCCCTGCCATGGGAACTTGGTACCCACCAGTCTCCTCATGTTTGCTGACAGGGATTCTCCAAAAGAGGAAGCTTCACTGTTGATACCCTCCTCCAAACAAAATGCCTTTCAAACTTGGACCCACTGTGGAAAGACTCATCATCCTTCCACTTAACCTGCCCAATGCTACTTTTTATCTAGTACAGTTTACTTCCTCACTCCTATCCTCAAGAGAAGGCAGGCTTTGAGGGCTGGGAGGAATATGTTGTACACATGGGGGGAAGATGTTTGAAGCAATGAGGTTGCAGATTCTAGGGTGTGGGGTTGCTTCTTTAGAGAAGACAAGGGATGTAAAACCCGACTTTGCTGCCTCAGTTTGCGTCAGTCTCCAAGTTTTTCATGATGTCCCCATGGGATAATCATATCTATGAAACTATCCTCATCACAACCCTACCCCTGCCAGCACTGGCAGGAGCAAGGCTCAGTCATTGGTGAATGAAAAACAGACAGACCACATCATGAATATTTTAAAAGCTACATGTTCTAGGTTTGAGACACTCTCTTTTTTTGTGGAACAGCATCCTAGCATTTGGTGCATTGATACATTAGTATAAAACAGTGGTGAGAGTGGGAATCAAGTTACTTTGCAACAGGAAATATTGTACAGGCCTCTGAAATCTGGGAAACAATTTTGTGGTTCACAGGATCCAAAAATCTAGGTCCAGTTGCCTGGAAAATACATATAACCCAAAGAGCCTTTCACAGGCTTTAGTTCTGTTTTCAAGCAGGTTTCTTTCTTTCTTTCTTTCTTTCTTTCTTTCTTTCTTTCTTTCTTTCTTTCTTTCTTTCTTTCTTTCTTTCTTCCTTCCTTCCTTCCTTCCTTCCTTCCTTCCTTCCTTCCTTCCTTCCTTTCTTTCTTTCTTTCTTTCTTTCTTTCTTTCTTTCTTTCTTTCTTTTGAATCATATGGAATAAGCTGAGCTATAGTGACTGGTTCACCATTCTTGAGAGGCTTGGTGTATCAGACATGATAAAGCCACCTTGAAATGCCATGGAGTTGAGATTCCATGGAGGCATCAATATGGCTTTATTGAGGGCCAAGAATTATGCTTGAGGAACTTGTACTAACCCCGGCTCTCACAGGCTGATTTTTGGATCACTCCTTCTTTCCTTGGAGTCCTACCTCTTTGCTTGCAAAGTATCTACATGGGCATGGAACAGTCAGAATGACATAGAACACTAAGACTCTGGCTGGTGCCACCCACGTCTGCTAATGGGATAGCAGTGGCATGCCCAGAAACTTACAGACACACAAATGCACAATATATATTTGTGGACAGGCTACCACTGACTCTCTAGGTTTGCTGTCTCAGCAGATAGAAATGCTAACTTTATATTGCATTACATGACAGAAGTAAAAGAGGCTAATGTGGACTGGGGTCATTTCTGTGCTCTTTTCATGGACTTTGCAGCAGAACTGGAGCATGACAGACAAGATCTGCCCTGAATCAGATCAGGAGGGAGTTCTGGGAGTGGTCACAGTCACAGTTTCCTGAAAGGCACAGTTAGGGGGACACATGCACATTGGGAAGATATGAGGGCTCCCCTCGCAACAGTTGCTATGCATTTATGTTAGTGAGTAAACATTTATTACAGGAAACAGGCCAAAGCTACCTATGCTGTGCTTATCCCTGTACTGGGCACTGTGGTGGAGACACTGGCTCATCCAATAAGAAAAGGAAGCCTCGGCAAGTGATCTAATGGCTGCTCCCCCTTTCCCAGGCTTTACCTAAATCTTAGGTAGCTAGGGTAACATGACTCAAATGTGGTCCCTGTATATCCATGGACACACTGGAGTAGGTTCCCAGGATGCTTAGTCCTTGAGAAGTGCCTTCAACTTAGACTTCTTCTGTGCCACCTTGCCTAGTCCCGAAGGATTCCGCTTTCTAATTTCCCCAAGGAATCCTGGCATATTCAGAGTCATTGTCTAGCCCTCAGTTGCACAGGCAGCCCATGGTAGTAGGAGGGGGTAGTGTGTGAGAAGGAGTCATAGACTTGGCAACCTTTAAGTAGGCTTTTATAGCATTAAGAGAGAGCCCTGAGGGTACATAGCAGCAAGCAGGGACACACGGCAGTATGGATAGGCAGGGTGTACATCTGGAAAACCAGCACAGAGCCAGGGGGATATAGAGAGGAATGGGGTGATGTCAAGAAGTTGGAGCTTGAATGCCACAGTCAGAAGCTGAAACTTCATCCTGGGGATAATGGAGACAAACTCCACAGGCCCCAGCGTGGTATAAGAGGGACAGGGATAAACAAGGACACATGGGGAAGTAAGGAATGATCCCAGTTATCCTGCCAGGAGCAGGCATAGCCACAGAGCCTAAAAGGGAAAAGAGGGGCGCCTTCAGGATGGATACATTAGATCACTGGGGGTTGTACTGGAGTAGCTGTGTGTCCTTTGGAGCCCTAAGGACAGCTTGGGTATGAGTCCTGAGCCATGTGCAGCAAGACAGCTAGAAGAAGACACAGGGATGGATGTGGAATCAAGTCCTGCCCCAGTGAGTTGCCAATCAGACTCCCAAGTAGAATATGTCTGGGAGATTCTGCCTTAGCGGGTAAATTCTCAGAGAAGCAAAGCAGTTTCATCTACAGGAGAGGTAGTGAGGCATTGGAGAGAAGCTAGACAAGGCCTTAGATGAGGATAAGGCAATGAGTAAGAGTGCCAAGGTCATCTAGAGGATAACCAGCTAGGCCATAGGAAATTGCCTAGGCCACAGACCAGTACAGACCAGGCAACAATGTGGGGAGGCATGGTGACCTTGTGGATGTTTGGGCTCAGGCAGTTCCCTAGCAGGCTCTCCTAGGAATTTTTAGCATGAGAGAGTACACACAGCTGGAGTAAGAGGTGGAGATACCAGGAAAATAAAGACAGAGAGAAGATGGAAACTCAGAAGGAACAGCAGAACCAGCAACACTTCCAGACGGCAACTGGGAAACATGGAGTTCGAAGGCCTTGCAAACAGTGGTGAGAGCCATTTGTGGCAGTGGGGGGCAGTGCAGTCATGAGAGGGTATGAGGGGAGATGAAAACAGGCAGGAAGTATGGAACCTTTTAGTAAGAAAGCTGGCCAAGAAGGGACTGGGGCAGAGAGCAGGGTAGCGTTGCACGTGTTTTTTGTTTGTTTTTAAGCCTTCACTACTACCTCATGTTGGCTATCTGATGGTTTTGGCCTTGACCAGTTCAGCCTATGAAGATTAGGACCAACTTGGTGGCAGAATCCACTAACTAGAGAGGCTCTTGCACAATAACTACAGCACACTCTAGTGAACAGAGATCCTAAGGATCCTTGAAATGGCCATTTTCATCCTCTACACACAAATGCAACTTGCCTATTCCCTGAGCAGCCCTTGCCAAGTGCTTGTCTGTTCCCCTGAGACACTCACTAGCTGCTAGTACATGTTCTCATCCAGCTACAAGAGGGGATACCTAGGCACTGAGGGAGGTGTCAGGGAGAGGCAATCTAAGTGGCCAGCCAGTGGTGGGCACCCCTATGTGGTAAGAGGGGAACTAGCCATGGCTTCTGCATGGTTGGGGGATAAGTCCAGGGAATTTCCTGTTGGCTTTGGGGGTCTGCCTGCCAAGTTTCTGTTTCTTGCTTGCTTTCTAAGGCAGCAAAGTAGGAGTCACATGAAACAGCAGCTTACCTGTGTCTGGATCCGGTTGAGGCCCCGGAACCAGAGGATCTGGCCCCTGCGGAGCTCTCGCTCAGCATGGTCAATTTCTTCCTCCCCCTCGGCTAGCTCCTCATCAGTCATCTCGTCCTTCCCAGGCCCATGCCCTGCTTCCTTCAGGCACTTGAGCTGGCTGGTGGGGATGGTGGCAATGACCTGGGAAAGCCACAGTCAAAGGGCAGCAAACAGAGGTAGCCATGAGAGGAGGCTCTACTGTGACCAGGAAATAACCAGGGGTCCCATCTCTCAGAGATACAGCTTACACCCTAGGCTTGGTAGACCCTAAATGGCTCCTTCCTCATGACAGATTCTGCTCTATGGAGTCTCATCCAGGCTGGGGAGCAGAGAAACCAATGTATAAAACACCATGTGAAAGAGACAGTGGGAAGGATCTTCAAGTGCCTGGACATCCTTCCTTAAGATGAGTGGGGCTCAGTTGGGGCCTTGAGCTACCTGCTAGTCTATGTATACTTGTGGGACACAGATGGGATGGACACTGAAGCCAGTCATCTGAGTATTATACACCCATGTGATTGACCTCAAAGAAAAACTGCACATCAGGACTCAGACGAGCTTCCAAGCACTCCATATCTGCTGTCCTTTATGGTTGCTGGAAGAAAAGCTGGCTGTCCTATTCTCTGAGATTAAGCCCGCTGGAAGCTTGTACCTGGCATTTCCTGGAGAAAGAAGGACCCAGAATAGGACTTGTGACCAGGAGTTGGCAGGAAGGAAGAGGTGACTAGGAGGGAGGCATCTGGGAAGGGTATGAGGAATGAAGGGAAGGCTGGAATACACTTTTCATTGTCTGGGTGGAGGATAGTAGATCATCCTGTCCCTCTTACATTCCTGTCTGCATGATGGGAGTAACCTTAAGGTCCTTTATAAGGATTCCTTTTTATTGAAGTTTTATCATTTTGAATGTGTATTTATTATTTATTTACTGATTTACTCATTTATTTATTCACTTTACATCCTGGTTGTAGCTCCATCCCTCTACCTCGCCTCCTGAATGTGCACTATTTTCATAATTAAAAATATTCTGAGTGGCTGAGCTACAAGCCGGCAGCATGTACCCATGGGCAGACCTATAAGCAGCTATTATATCAGGGAGTTAGAGGTTAACTAGAGGCTGTCGTGGGCAGGGCTGAGTAGAGGATGTGGAGTCTAGGCTGAAGAATATGAAGGGACTCCATTGGACTGTTAGGCCTACGTGTGAGTGGATGGGAAGTTCAGCAGTAGAAAGAAGTTTCTTGAAAATGTAATGGAGAAACTGTGTAAGCTGTCTCTGATGATTAATGCCAGGAGCCAGCAGAGGCTAGCGTCTGCCATAGCCAAAGTGGTCTCTGTGGCTACATACCAGTGGATAAAGAAACAAAGCTCATAGTGTTATAACTTATATGGTACCTCCTTACCCCCTAGGAGTGAGGCCTAACTATCAGTTTGGAAGTATTTGGAAGAGTCAGATAATATAGGTTAAATGAAGACATTAAGTTGGCTCCTTGCTCACACCAGATTTGTGACCTTATGGGAAGAGATGTCAGAGAACTTCCTAGTAGTACACAGGGAGAAAGTAGCCACTCAGAATCCAGGAAGGGACCCTTACCAGACACTGAATTGATCTTAGACTTTAAGCTTCCAGAGCTGTGAGAAAATACATACCTTCCGTATAACCTGCCAGTCTCTAGTAACTTGCTATGGCAGCCAGAGCTGAACAAGACACAGACAGAAGTAAATCCTGGACATGTCTTCCCATAGTAGTGTTCCTAAACTCTGGAGAAAATGCTTCAGAGACCTATTGTACACCATGGAGCAGGCTGGCTTGGTGCCTGAGATTGTACTGGCTGCCAACACCTAAGATCTTATCACTTCCTGATCTTATCACCGGGTGCTACAAACTACTTCTTTGGGGAAGCTGCACCTCTCATGTCTGCAAGGGTTTTATTAAGTCAAAACACCTGATTTTTCCTTAAGCTCTACTTGCCCTACAGATTTTTATAGCAGTGTGTTGTTTAATTCCAAATATATTGGGACATTCCAAGCACCACAGGCCATCCTTCCTTCTATCTTGTTTTTTGTTTTTGTTTTTGTGCACTGCTGGGGATGGATCCCAGGAGTTTAGGAAAGCTAAGCAAGTGCTCTATACCGAGGAATACTTCAGCCCCCCCAAATATCCAGGTTTAGGAGAAAAATTTTTAGCTTCAAACCATGGAAAAGGAAACCGCGTGATTTTCCAGCACACTATGACATTTCAACTCTATGTTCTCATTCCTGAGGTTGTCAGTTAGTGACCTTGCCCCCAGGGCATAGTATGTCATAGGCCTGAGCCTGAGCACACACCACACACTTTCCAGGTCATAGGCTCCGGCGGGGAGGGAATCAGGATAGTAGGAAGCATAGGTGAGCCAGGATTCCTGGCTTCTTACCCACTCTGAGGGCAACCAATGGAAGCAACCAGGGGGTAGACACTCACCTGTCCCCAGACTAGCTCCCCAACACCAACAAACAGGCACCAGAGCCACTGTTCTGCGGACAGTGGGGAACAGCTGAAGGGCTTCCCACCAAATTGGACAATGACAATCTGAGGGAAAGAATGGAAAGTGGTAGGCGGAAGAACAGTCAAGATAGCTCCTGACTTCTCTATGTCCTGCCCAGAGTTCTATAAACCTTGGTTTCCAGATTGACCTTGTCTTTTGGGAGCCAAACCAAACTGATCATAGTCAAGGACTTGCTGGCTTCCTGGCCCATGGGTGGACTGGCCACACTCTGGGAAATATCTTGGATTTACTTCTCAGCTTGTTCCCTTCTTTTCTCCCTCAGCAAAGGCTTAACAACATCTCCACAGACTAGCTGCCTACAAGGCTAAGTGTACCATGATGGGTCAAAATGTAGCTTCACATACTCACACTCACCCCCCCTCTAGTGCTTCTAGACTCGAGGTGAGGCTCAGATGTCTGGACCATCTTTCCATCTTTTTCAAGACTGTTTTCACATTTGCCTGCTCTGCATGACCCTATAGTATGAGGATCACCCTGTCTTTGCCCTCCTGTCTTCCTTGATGTTTACTTCAGGAGTAGTCTTACACCCAAGGGCAAGATTTTCAAATGCTAACCAACCAGTCCATAGTTTATAATCCAACCCATCTCAAGGCCAGGTTCCAGGCAACCAGGGCCAGTCTACATTCCGTGGTGGGCTGACATTATTTTGTGTTAGGTAAGATGAAGTCTGTTGATTCTCTCATTCATTTGATCCTGGGAAACTACAGTAAAATTCTTGCAATGATTCATTACTGCCATTTGGGACTGGCCAAAGGTATGACATATCCCTCCTCTTAGACAGTGAACTGCATTTGTATGATAGCCATTTCTTGATTGGTGGGACTTATATTTGCAGCTTTGTTTGAAGACACTACACTTTGGAGCATTCAGCCTCTCCTGGGAATTGAGCTGGCCTACCTGCCCACAACGCTGTAGCAGCCAGAGTTTAGTATGTCAACCATGTGTACAGCAAGCATTTGCTAAAGAATCTTCTATAGTTATCGAAGGAGTTAGGTGCTAGAAATGTGGATGGTTGACCCAGAGAGAGAGAGAGAGAGAGAGAGAGAGCACCAGGGCATAATATTTCTAGTAGCCATGTGAACAGGATTAGAGGATAAAAGCCTTCTTTCCATAGCTCTTTGGAAGCTAGCAGGTTACACCAAAATGAGCCCAGCAATGTTTAGAGGAACACCTGCTCTAGAATGCAGAATAGATTCAAGGACAGGGAGGCCAACATCACTTCCCCTACATATTTATGCCCTACCTGAATTCCAAAGGTGCCGAGGACAATGCTGCAGAAGATCGGATTGCTGAAGATGCCATCAAAGACATTCCTTTCACCATGGATCTTGCGGGCATTGATCTCATTGAAAAGCTGCATCATGACGAAGGTGTTGAAGATGATAGTGTAGTGCTCTGAGGGTGGCGAGTGCAGGGGTGCATTCCTTCCACTGTCAATGTCGAAGAAGAGCTCTCCTGAAGGTAAAAGAGAGGCAGGGGCTGAGAAGGGAAGGTCTCCCAGCAGCAGTGGCCACCTTCCTTCACCACATCTGCCCCAGAGATGTGCAGTGGGACGCATGGTGAAGGGTAGCAGGGAGGTATAGAGCAGGCTTGCTCTTTTCAGTCTGTAAGTGCTGCAGCCCATCCTAGGCCAGACTAAGGCTACAGACAGCGCCCAAACATGAGGCCACATCAATACTGTCCTGAAAGCCTCGGATAGGGGCTGACATGTGTGCTGTGGGTCCAACTTACCAACAAAGAGTAGGGTAAAGATGATGGTGAGCTGGTAGACAGCATGTCCAAGGATGTTCTTCATCATGGTGCGTGAGATGAGAGGCTTGTCCCGGCCGTATGGCTTCCGCAGCAGGAGTGACTCAGTTGGGGGTTCGGTTGCCAGGGCAAGTGAGGCAAATGTGTCCATGATCAAGTTCACCCACAACATCTGCACAGCTTTGAGAGGAGAGTCCTGCAGAGATGGAGCAGTCACCTTTCTGTGGCCTCCACAGAGAAAACTTGGGGTGGTGGGATAGGCTGCCTGCCACTACTGAGGAGAAGCTCAGCTTTCCCAATGCCATGGAAATTTCATTCCCAAAATGAAAGTCATACAAGTTTCCTCAGGCTGGCAGAAATTTTCCACTGGGATTTCTGATTGCTGGTTACCTCCCTCTCTTTTTGCCTGATGGCAGTGATCTCAAAGGTGTGGTCTGAAGCCTTTGTAGGAACCACAAAGTCTGAACTTAGTTACCAGGGCTTTCAAGACAGCCCTGCAAGACTGCCCAGTAACAGCCTTTGAAACTAGTCTCTCACTTCACAGGGCAAGAAGAGGCAGAAATGTTGACCCCAACCTGCTTTCTCATCATATCCATTGAGTGTCTTTTTAAAAATCAGCTTCACAGGAGCCAGGTGTACAAGACCATAGATGGAGTTGGTGAAATCAAATGAACACAGAAGTTCACAGACAGAGCAGGTGAGCATTTCCAAGGCTAGGGAGGCAATGGGGAGAGGCTGCTAATGGGTGTGAAGCTTCCTCTAGAGACCATGAGAATATTCCCAGAGTAAATAAGAGGTGATAGTTGTCCAACAATGAATATGTCAAATCATGCAATTCTGTCCTTTCAAATGGTTAGGATAGTTATTATGATGTCATTAATATATGACTTAGATATCAAGAAAATGTCTTAGAGGGCTAGGGAGTTATCAAAGTGCTTGCTTTACAAGCATGAGAATCTAGGCCCAACCTCCAGACCCTATATCAAAAAAGCTTAGTGCAGTGGTGTGAATTTGTATCCTCAGTGATGGGGAGGTGAAGATGTGAGTATCTGTAAGGCTTGCTGCCCAGCTAGCCTGTCCTAATCAGTGAGGCTGGGATCTTATTGAAAGGCTGTCTTTCAAAAGGCAAGGTAGGCTGTTTCCAAGTTACACCAGAAATTGACTTCTGACCTCTACATGAACATAAATACATGTGTGTTTACACCTTGCCAACACACACACACACACACACACACACACACACACACACACACACACA